CGATGCAGGAAATACAGGCTCAGGTGCTGCGCAGAGAATGTATCCCCTCTCTCCTTTGAGTGCACTGCATCAACCAGAGGCTCCAAACATGAAAGAGATGAGCGGTCTATGGCCTCAGTGACCCAGCTTATGCATGCTCACTGGTCACGACCTTATTGCCCATTATTTTAAGGCAAATGTCCCCGGTTTCACGAGAGTTTATATTCTCCAATATCATGACAAATAAGGAAAAATGGGGTAACTTCTGAAGCTCAAGTGGAAGAAGGCTTTCTCCTAGGAGCTGCTTTTCAGAAAAATGGGCAAATGTTTGCCAAGGGCAGGCACTGTGTCTACGGGCAGGTGGTAAGGCCATTGTCAGTTTCCAGGAAGACACGTAAGAGCCTGAGAGTCATGCAGTGCCAACCCTGCCTCCGATACTGAGAAAATGTGTAGCAAATTACATATCTATTGTCCTGTCCACCTCAATAAAACATGGCACTCTTTAAAGCAGTTACCTTAATGACGTTTGTGTGTCTTGGAATGCCGCCCTGGGCTAACAAATCACATCTGAAGATGTGAAAACATAAAAATCGATAAGAAGAGATGAAAAGTCTGTTTCACTGATAAAACATCATTTATCTCAATCATTGGGACTTCTTAAAATTTCCTAAGTGCCCTTTTAAATGCCAGCATCAAAGCTAGTGCCCATGTGTGCGCAGAAGGCCTAGGGATTCAAGGCAGGAATATGGACTGCTCAGGCCACAGAGCCTGCTAAGGAGAAGCATCTTTCTGGGGCAGGCACCCACTGGACTGGTTTCCAACCAAGGAGTGTCCAAGTGGGGCTTTCCAGGGATATTTCTGGTATTTCAAAACTCCCAGTGAAAATAATATACCTTCCTATAAAAGATATTTCTCAAGACACTAACTAAAGCATAAGTGACCCACTTTTAGTAGGCTTTATATAACGTGGTAGGCATTATAACAATAATAATTCATGCTAATTAATGTGAATTGCTAATTAATGTGAATTGAGAAAATGAAATTATTCCAAGAAGCCTATACTTGCCCTGCCCCTCCACCCAATCAAATCTTCATAGGGATTAAACAGCAGAAGTCCTTGATGGTGAGAAGGTTGGAAGCACTGGTCCCCCAGAATTGGCTTTCGTGCTACTAGTTTTCTTTTTTTCTTTGCAGCCTCATTCAGTTTTGAGGTTCTTTTAACTATTCCTAGGGGACCAAAATGTGGAGAGGTTGGAGGTGGTCTGGGAGTTCCTGCCCTCCCAGCAGCCCCAGGGAGGCGGAGTGTTAGGGCTGCCCAGCAGGCATCATCTTTGAAAGCACATCTATGCTTCCAGGCTTGAGAGAAGGTCGGGGGTGAGCAGAGGCTTAGTCTCCCCTGGTCTCCTTTGCTCTCCAGCCATGACCATGGAATAGATGGGAAGGGCAGTCTCAGACTTCCATATTGCTGACATAGCTTTCTCCAGTTTTCCTACACATTGGCCAGAAGGCTTTTAACATTATTGATTCCCATTTTTCTTATAATAAATTCTGCAACCTCTGATACCTCTGATCTGATGTTTCTTCTACCCCCACTCTTTGTACTCTAGCCATCCTGACTTTCTGCCACCTCCTCCAGGGAGCCAAGTCTTTGCCTGGCTTGGTGTCCTCACCTGGGCTGTTCTCTTGAAAGGCAAGCTCTTCACTTGAGTAACTCAATGATTCACATGTCATTTTAATATAGCACTTTGCCAGAGACCTCTCTTGACCTCAAAATTTAAATGAGAACTCTTTCATAGTTTTGCGTACTTCTCCACAGTAATCATCACAAGTTATAAGTATAGCAGGTCCTTAAATAACATCGTTTCATTCAACTTTGTTTTGATCATATTGATAAAAAATCGTTTCCTGCCCAGGGCCACTGACTATGTGGAGTTGGCATGTTCTCCCCAAGTCTGCATAGGTTTTCTCTGGGTACTCCAGTTTCCACCCACATCCCAAATATGTGCACCTCAGGTGAACTGGTGTGTCTAAATTGTCCCAGTCTGAGTGAGTGTGGGTGTGTGACCTTACGGTGGAAGGGCACCCTTCTATCCACCAGCGTGGGTGGGTGCCCGCCTTGTGCCCTGAACTGCTGAGATGGGCTCCGGCCACCTGCAACCCTGAACTGGAATAAGCGGGTTGGAAAATAATTCTTTTATTTGTTTTTTATTAATCTTTCTTAAATGTATGTATAGCTCACCTTTATTTCGATGTTTAGTATTAGAAGTGTTTGAGGTCTTTATTTAGAAGTTTGGTGATGTTTTTGTGACCAGAAATATGACGTAAGAACTTAACTCTCATTTATATCAGTTAGCCTAGGGTAAAATTGGTTTTGTTATGTCATTTTGCCTCAAGTTGCAGTTTCCAAGAACCTATGGACATTAAATGAGGACTTACTGTACTATCGATTTGTGATTATTTTCCATGCATCTTTCCCATTAGACTACAAGCCGTACGTGTGAGCTCCTAGTCTCATAGATACAGTCCACCTAACAACACATGGTAGACACTCGGCACATACTTTATATGGCTAAATAAATGGATGAGTTCCACGGGGTACCATCCGGCAAATTTCTCAAGAGGCAAACAGGTCCTGAAAACTTAAACTGCATATCATTCACCATAACCCAAAGGAGGCCAAACACGTTTGGGATGTGCCCTATTCTGTCTCTCCTTAGAGAGTCATAATATACATTAGTGTAGGGGATTCTGAGATGGGCTCCAATTAGAAAACAGAGCAAAAAATAAAACCAAAACCATAGAGAGGTTTTCTTTATTCTGTTTCCCAAACTTAACTGAATGTGGCATTTTTTTTCACTGAACATCTATTAACATTCTGCAGAATGGACTTTAAGAGATGCTTCATGGTGGCTTCTTGCCTGAGAAGCCTGCAACTCTCAAGATTGTCAGGTTTGGTGTCGGGGGTTGTTCATCTTGCATTGAGCTACCCTCACGGTTGCCTTGCTGTCATCATGAGCACACATAGTCACATGTGCAGTCACCACCATAGTAAAGCAGGAGCATGAGCAAAAGTTGGAGCTAGCTTGTGTTTATATTTTTCAGGCAAAAGAGAGGGGGAAGAAAAATTGAAACTTGGCGTTGGCAGACTTAATCTTTGTATTATGACAGTGAGCAACTCATGCATAGTAACTTGTCTTTTGCTGAGGCCTGAATCTGCAAATATTGAGAAGCTGGTGTGAAGATGTAGATCCTTTGGCTGGTGAGTCCACTTACTACCCAACATTTACATCTCAAAGCAGTTCTCTTGTTCTCAGTATCCACAGCAATTCTCTTGAATTTTCTAGTAGACTTAGATGAATTTTATAAGGGGAGAGCGCATGTAATACTAACATTAGTGAAGATTTTAGGACCTCTCTCTTGCATATCTAGGATGTTTTATATAGGTAGGCTTCTTGAGGTGGGGTTTGTATTATAAGCAGTGGATCTCATATTACTTTTGGTCAGCCCCTACTTAGGCAGGGCAGAAGTGCTTGACTTACCGACTCCATCTAGTCTCATTTTCCAGTGGAAAAATAAATTAGTGATAATTTGGGGGGAGTAGATTATGTATACATTTGCTCTAGCACTGGAGTATGGATAATTCTTATTTGAACCACAATGTATACATGTCTTAGAGTCTAGTTATTGGAAAATTACAGCCCCAGGATACCACCGATGCAAATAAGTTTCAGTATACTCCGTAGGGTTAACCAAGCAACCACAACAAAATGAATTGATAATGATAAAGCTAAGCTAACAGTAATTCATAATTAAAAAGTACCGTAAGAGTAGCAATTACAAATCACAACCAAATCGGGTGACACTGATGATGTGCCGATAAAGAGTCCTTCTTCCAGATTCTGGAAATGCCTCCATGTGTGGAATCAGAGCCTTCTGATCAAGGAGATGAACTCGGCATAGTGGCTGGGCTTGCAACAGAATACTGTAGGGCACTTAGTCACTCTGAGTGCTCTCTTAGTTACAAGTTAGTAGCCCTAGCAATATGTACAAATGAAAACTTAAACTGCACACCATTCACCATAGTAATCCAAAGAAGGACTTAAAAATTTTTTTCAGTTCAGGGCACATGAGAATACCCCTGGTAACACACCCCATCCCCACCGCCCCAATAAGTCTCAGTCTGACTTCTGAAATCGCTATCTAGGCATTACCTCTCTTAGGTAGCGCTTTCATTTCCTGGCTCAGGCAGACCAGAGATGGTCCTTTGGATTTACAGAGTGCTCAGACTCTCATTTTTAAAATGTGAAAGGTTTTAATACCCAGTGTAAAATAATCTCCAAGATATAACAAGAGAAAAAGCAATGTCCCTGACAGTATGTATAATAGGCTATTTATGTTAAAAAAAAAAAAAAAACCCAACAATTTTATATGTATGTTGATGCTTCTTATGGCTGGAGTATCTCTGGAAATGAATATAAGAAATGGATCAAAATAGTTGCCTCTGGGGAGTATTTGCCGCTGGGGGAGGGAAGGGAGGGAGATTTGTTTTTCACTAAATACCAATTCATGCTTTTTTGATTTTGTACCATTTATGTATCAACTATTAAAATATCAATGAATTTAAATTTAGAAAAGAAAAAACAGCCTATAAAGGCAGGAATTTTTTTTTTTTTTTTTTAAGAAATGTGGGTTAAGTTTGGTTTATTTATTGTTCTGATGTCTTTTCCCCCTTCAAAACCATGGTCAAGTATTGAGCAGGGGAATCTAAAGGAAAACTTCTAAACGAGATGACAGTGTTTTAAAACCAGGCCCAGTCCCTGGGATTCTGGACTGAGGCTAAGACTTCAGAATTGAAACACCGTTTTCTGATAAACTAGACCTGTCATTAAAAAATCTTCCAAGTGTTCCAATGTGTTTTCATACTATGTATATAAAGCACAAAAAGGAGTGATCTTAATAAGAGTCCTTGTTAGACTGTACATTTGCAGCTTGAATATAAGAAAAAAGACAAAACGAGAAAATTCGTACAGCAAAGCATGTTTAAATGAATGCATTCTTATTTCATCCTGCTTTAGTATTGCTCAGGGAGATAAAGCAATGACTTGTCTTGATTTGCCATCAAGAATATAAAAGAGACCAAACTAATATTACACTAGTGTTTCCTAATGAGAAACATATTTCATTAATTACATAAAAAATAACCATATCCTTTTACATAAATTGACATAAGAGAATACATTGGCTCTATATCGTAAATGCTCATCACACTGGGTAACAATTCTTTCTTAGAGAAAATATCCAAAGAAATACTTAGTATCTAAATCTCCTGGGTTCCAAGATAGACCATAGAGTAAGAAATGTTTAGGAGATAGAAAGAAATGTTTTGGACAATATGGGAGGCCTAACAGGGATCGATATGAATTCGTCAGACTAGAGAGGGGCTTTGTGCAATGGGCCTAAATCAGTGACAAACTAACAAAATATGCCAGGCTGTGTCTATCTGGCATATTTGAGACGATTCTATAAGGATCTATCAGTAAACGTTATTAATTATCCCAAGGCCTTGGTTAATTTACAGACTGTAAACCCCATAAGCCCCATCACTCTGAGGGTGTTCCATTATATGTTAAGTGTGTAAATATTTTCCCCATGCTTCTTGTCCCCCTAGGAGCCCCCACTTTAGTCCCTTTCCTATTCCTACAGGACCTGGAAGCCTGGGACAATAGAGCCTTGTATTTCAAAGTTGGGTTCACAGAGAGGGGATTCAAGTCACCACAAGCCCGCAAGTAGCCCACGCAAGGAAACCGCTGCTTGGCTTGGGTCTGAACAATTTAAGTTTTACCTCGCCTGAATTAGTCGGTAACTGCGTGTGGGCAGACCTAGCCAGAAACAGTCTAAATGATCAATTACAAGGCAAAAAGGAGTTCCTTTCTTTAAAATTCAAGGGTCCCTGCTGAAGAGCCCTACTTCCTAAGCTATGCTCACGTGGGCCTGCGCCCAGCTCTCTATGGTTCTGGAGTATATTGTACATTTGCCTAATGATAATGAATTGAGTACTTATTTTGCAGGAAAATATAGGGCACTTCCATTACATGCAATCAAGCAAAAAGGCTGTAAAATGTGCCACTCCATTAATTTTAAACAGAATCCTTCCCAAGTGTCACCCTGAAACCAGAGTATAGGGTTATTACAAATCTGAAGGAATTAAGAGTAATTTTCATTTGTACAAAGGAGCTGAGGGACATGACTCCTGTCACATATACGCTATTAATTGGGTTAAATTTGATTTGCCAATTTTAGTGTGAATCACTAAGCCTTGGCCTGGCTGGTGGTGGGGTTAGTGGGTTTGTCTTCTTTGTGGGTGCATGTGCACATATACAACTATAAGACATGCAAAGAATGTGATGTAATTGGCTACTTATTAACAAAATATGTCGTTCAAAGAGGAAAATGCCAACTTCTGGCAAGTCACTTAACCTCTCTGGGCCTCAGTTTCCTCATCTATAAAAAGGGGATTATAATACCTGTTTCAGAGGGAGTTGTGAGGACTAATGAGTTTGAGTACATCATAGCACTTAGTGTGGTATCTGGAAGATAGTTTGCACCCATTAAATGGTAACTATTATCTTTATTTTCATTTTCTGTGGGGGTCTCTTGGGCCTAAGCTGGTTCCCAAACCACAGTGAGGGAAATCTGGACCTAGGACCAGGATGAGAACGACTTTGCTAGGCCACTGCTGGGTCATGACATTCCGTCGGTCCAGGAGGTGTGGGCCAGCCCACTGAGTTACTTATCATTTCCTTCTTAATTCGGTTCCCACTGTCTCTGGGTTGTAGTTGAACTCGTAGGAGAGCACAGAGCAGGAGACAGAAATAAGCAGGTTAAGGAGGTTTGGAGGACAGTCCAGTCTGCCCCTCATTCCACGTTCCGGTACTTGGTAAAGAGGTTGTACAACACTCGCAGTGTGGATTTCAGGTCACAGTTGACGATGTCTATATAAAAACAAACAAACAAACAAAAAAAACACAATGCTTCAAGTGGGAGCACATGGCCCAAAGTTGGCATCCGTTGTCCTTTTCTATCCTCCACCCACCTGTGTGTCCATCATGCTCCTGGGGTGGGTGACTACCCCTCACCCACAGGACATCATTTGGTGCTCTGGAAGAGCTCCCTGTCCTGCTGGGAGACAGGAGCATCCCCCGAGAGACGACCAAGGGCAGAGTGTTGAAGGATGGGCGCTGAAGTGTGCAGTGAGAATGTGGAGCAGGGGGATAGTGAAGGGCAGAGGTGCTGGGGTGTGGGTCTCACCTCTCAATAAAATAAAGCAGGCTCCAGAGCATGCAGCCTTTGCCCTGAAAACAGAATCTCAAGGCAAGAGGGGTGCTGACCCTGACCCTCAAGTCTCACCAGTCCATAGGGCCCCTCCACCACAGAGGTGGCCATGAGTGGTGGGAAGGAGGGAAGGATCTGAGGCTACAGTGGGGTAGGGATAGTGATTTAGGACTAAGCTGCCTCTCTCATAGGAAGGGAGGATCTCTAAAGGGCACAGACGTCCACCTGACAGAGTACTCAGTAAACGCGCATCCTCAGGAGGCAGCTTCAGATTAAGGACAGCAAGGCAGCTGGGTTTGAGGCTGGGAATTAGACTGTAATTTCAGGAGTTTACTGTGCATTGCCAAGCTTTTATACAACCATTTCCTCCGTTCCCTCCCTCCCTTTTATTTAGTGGTCATCTTGGCTGCCCCTCTAACCCTCTGCCAGCCCCTCCGCCTTCTCTTTCCCCCACCAAGGCCCCCTCTCTGCTCTTGCCCTTCTGTACTCATTCCTTTAGAGGGCCTCACAAGAACCAGAGTACAGAAAACTAAAAAAGGAACTCATCCTACTATTTAGGAATGCATACTAAGGTAATAAAATTATAAGAAAAAGCAAAATAAATAAATAAATAAAGCCTGCTGACTATAAAAGTCAGCAGAGTGGTTATCTTTAGGGAAGAGATAAAGAATTATGTTAAAAAAAAAAAAAAAAGTTGAAGGGAGCTCTCAGGAGCTGAGGCGACTCTTCCCTGAGCTGGATGGTGGTTGCACTGTGGATCACTGGGTACCATTTCACTAACCTGCGCACCGCACATTTATATTTTATGTACCTTTCTGTAGATGTGATATTTTTCACAATAAAAATGAAAAAATGTTATTTAAAAAACACCTCACTATGCAGGAGGTCAGATAAGGTAAATGATGTAAAAGAAAATAATAAACGGGATTCAAGGCAGAAGAGATCAGGCGGAGCTGCTGAGAAAGGCGGGCTGGGGGAGATACCGGGACTCCAGCAAGGCCCTGGTGCAAGGAATAGGTATTCTTCAGGACCACGCAGAATGGAAGCCAGTGGCTTCATCAGGCTGGGCTATGGAGCTGCTGAGAAAGGCGGGCTGGGGGAGATACCAGGTGACTCCAGCAAGGCCCTGGTGCAAGGAATAGGTATCCTTCAAGACCACGCAGAGTGGAAGCCAGTGGCTTCATCAGGCTGGGCTGTGGCTCCCAGGCCTTAACCTAGAGACATTTGCAGCTCTGGCTGCCACAGCCAGGTACATCCAGGCCCCACTAAGTTGAGCACCCATCGGGCTATAGACTGAAGGCTCAGGGCTGGGGAACCTCCTTAGGGCTTCCCCCCACCCCTGGGCCTCCTCCTGTATGCCCCTCCCTGGCCTTATCCCAGTTGCAGACGGACTCTGTTCCACCCCAGCTGGGCTCGGATTCTGTTCCAAGCTCTCCTACTGGTAGTCCAGGGACCATCTGAAAGGTCTGGAGCTTAGCTTCCCCTTCTGCTCTCATGTTGGTTCATGCATATATCTGACCCTCCACCTGGGGTCCTGCCCATGGCCGAGCCCTTCTACCCTGCCCTGCTCATGCTCAATCACTCCTGTGCCCCGAGGGCTGATTCCTGTCCTCTCCTGACTCTTGATGTTGAGTGTTTCTTAAACTCCACTCAAGTCAAAGATTAGGAAGTTACTCCAGGTAGAAACTTCTAGAAAGGCAGAAAGGAGAAAAAGTGAGCTCACCAAGGGAGTGTAAAGGAGAAGGCAGGGTGGCACTGGAACCACAGGAACAGACTCCCTAACTGGGTTCCCTAAAGCCTCTTGCCCTCTCCATTCTGCCCACTGTAGATGGACTTTTCAGCCTCTGGGTACGGTTGTGTTTCCAGGGGACTTCAAGGTACAACAGAGCTTTGAGTGTCAAATGGCATAGCAGAGAATGCGTTTTCCTGAACTTAAAACCATTTTGCCATGAAAAATGCCTCTACCGTAGCCAATTTGATTTTGAAACGCCTTCAAAGAATTACCCACATTGGCACCTTTTATAAAGTCTATAGCTATTACTGCTGACTCTCCTCCCCTTCCAGAAAGAAGCACAGAAACCAGAGAGTGCTGGGGTATACTTTTCACAAAGTACAATTTCACAAAATACCATTTCAGTTCTCCTTTACGTACTAGAAATCTTCAGCGTGGGCATGATGCCCAGGGTAATAACGAATAAAACAGATGTTTTTCCATTGACATTGGTCAGGATGTTTCATATTAAGCAGTTCAATAATTGCACAAGAAATATTATCTATATCCCGAACTATCCCTATAGGTGAATCGATACTGGGAAAACTGTCCTGAGGGAAATGATGTCTGAAAACTGAAGTATAAGGAGTACTTCCAATCTGTAACTAGAAAGCTTCATATTAAGCAGCTCAAGAAAATAAGCAGAAATGCTGGCCAGAGCTCTCCTACTATGTCTCTTCTCCCCAGCAGCAGGGTGCTTATCATCTGGCCACAGCATATTCAGAGTCCATTCCTAATGGCTTTAGGATGCTAGAGTGGCCTTGCCAGGGACAGAGCCCTGAGAGGGACACCAACCTTGCTAGAGGTCCTCCTCTAGCAGTGACTAGGCACTTAGAATAAGGGGTGGCTTTTGTTGGCTAGGGCTGATAAGTATTGAGTTCTGGGATGAGGCATGAGACAGGGACCCAACCAACATCTACACAATCCACTTCTCTCGTCTGAGTTACCTGCTTTCTCCTCCAACTTTTATAAGTAAAGGCATTCCCACAACATACTGTCATTAACCCTTTCTTTACAGCTTTCCTGTTGTTCCATACTTTCTCAGCATGTTGGCTTCCAACAAGTGGAAGACTTCCCATTATATAATCACAGTTCTGATCTTTCCCCGACCCCCAGTTCTGCCTGGTCCATGCCTAGGTGTCAGCCTCAAGGTTTTCAAAGCTGACATCCTTATGTCTCTCCCCAAGCTTAATTTCCCCCCTGGGCTCCCCAGTGCTGCGGATGGTGTCCTACATCTAAACATCCGTTCTTCACACTGCCTTCCAAATGATCTCAATGGAACAGACCTCTGAACATGCCACGCACCTGCTTAAGAATGTTCCATGACTCCCACTGCCTACAGAAAAAAGTCCAAACTTTCTGCCTTGGCCTTAAGTCCCTCTAGGGCCTAACATCGGCTTGCTTTATCCTCATCAACCATTACTCAATTCATACTCTTAATATTCCAGCCAAATAGGTAACTGCTTACATTAATTATTAGATGTCAGGCATCATATCTAATTCTGTAATGTGCACGTCTCCAGGAGTTCCATTTTTATAGACATGAACAATAGGCTCAGGAAGGGTAAGTTGCCCAAGGTCACGCAGCTGGTGGGGTAGGGACTAGACCTAGGGCTGTATCACATGCTCTCTCTGAGTCCCTCTCCATTCCCCAGTGAGGACTCTTACTCTCACCACTATCCTGTTGCAGAAGCCTGCACCTTTATGCTTTAAAATTTTTTTTCAATTACAGTTCACATACAATATGTTAGTTTTAGGAATACAACATAGTGATTAGACATTTATATAATTTCTGAAGTAACCACCCTGATACTTCTAGTACCCATTTGACACGATGCATTGTTATTACAATGTTATTGACTATATTCTCTATGCTGTACTTTACATCTTCGTACTGTATTATAACTGCCAATTTGTACTTAATCCCTTCACCTTTTTTCACCTAACTCCCTTCCCATCTAGCAACCATCAATTTGTTCTCTGTATGAGTTTCTGTTAATTTGCTTTTTTAGATTCCACATATAAGTGAAATCATCTGGTATTTGTCTTTCTCTGACTTAATTTCACTTAGCATAACATCCTCTAGCTCCATTCACGGTTTCACAAATGGCAAGATTTCATTCTTTTTATGGCTGAGAAATATTCCACTGTATATATGTACCACCTCTTCTCTATCCATTAGTTTATCAAAAGACCCTTGGTTGTTCCTTTGGCTATTGTAAATAATGTTGCAATGAACATAAAGGTGCACATATCTTTTCAAATTAGCATTTTTGGTTTCTTTGAATAAATTCCCAGGAGTGTAATTGCTGGGTCACACAGTAGTTCTATTTTTAATTTTTTGAGGAACTTTCATATTGTTTTCCATAGTGGCTGCACCAATTTGCAATCTCACCAACAGTGCATGAGGGTCCCCTTTTTTCCACATCCTCATCAACACTTGTTAATTTATTAATGATAACCATTTTGACAGGTGTGAGTAATAGCTCATTGTGGTTTTAATTTGCATTTCCCTGATGATTAGTGATACTGAACATCTTTTCATGTCTGTTGTCCCTTTGTATGTCCTCTTTGGAGAAATGTCTATTCAGGTCCTCTGCCTGCTTTTTAATCAGATTATTTGTTTTTTGGTGATAAGTTGAAATCAATTCCTTACATATTTCGGATAGTAACTCCTTATTTGATGTATCATTGGGAATAACTTCTCCCATTCAGTATGTTGTCTTTTCATTTGGTTTCCTTCACTATGCAGAAACTTTTTGGTTTGATGTAGACCCGTTTATTTTTTTCTTTTGTTTCCTTTGATTGAGAAGAGATCCCCCTCCCCTAAAATATATTGCTAAGACCAATGTCACAGAGTTTACTGCCTATGGTTTCTTCTGGGAGTTT